ACATCTCACCCGGCCATACCAGGGGTCAGGAATTCTGGGGATTGAAGCCCCAAAGATCTGGCAGATGAAAGATTGAGAGGCACCAGAGAAGAAATATGGCCCCAGCATGGCACTGGCTTTCATGAAGCCATGGACTGCTTTACAAACACTGTTGGAATAACAAACTTATGAGGAGCAGAAAACTGGTGGCAGCTCAAGTTCTTCCCTGACACTGCCCTGTGTGGGCTTGCATATATACTTTCTTTCCTTCTTAGCCTGTGCTGGGTTCATGTCCTTCTATTAGTCGTAGCTGACTGTACTGCCAGCTCCACATAAAGATACACCAACTGTTTTGAACTGCTGGTAGTCACTTACATGAGAGAGAGAAAGAACAGAAAGAAAGAGAACTAGAGATGGAGATGCTGGCTCCATAAACAAACAAAGAAAGAAAGCCTATCATGATATCAAATAAAGCAGGCATCTGGGAGGGGGGATGAGGAAGCAGCAGGATAACTTTTCTCCTCAGTGCTGCTGCCATGTGAGGAAACAGGTGAAGAAGAGAGATGCCAAGGTGTTTCAGTGGTAAGCAAACAGCTTATTGAGAAGGAGGACACAACAGCAGTGGGGAACTCTCCATGGAAGAAGCTTGCAACTTGTAGAATGATAGAATTACTCTGCAGAATGACATAATTTATTTGGATGCAAATTGCCACATCATTACCTATTTGCAATGATTATACATGCTTTTAAAAGGTAAGTAGTGGGCTAATGGTATTATAGATCAGTCATCTCTATATCCTTCCATTTTGCCCTTTATCTTCCACCTTGAAAACAGAAAATAAAAAGCTTGGGTGAGAACAGGAAAAAAAAATGGAATAGAAGGATTATTGATGGAAAGCATGTTTAGAAACTACTAGTAGACGAGATTTACATGATATTGCAGGAAGTGAAAGCGTGTGTATTTGGAATGATCAACTTGAATTATGAAGTGATACAGATCACTGCAGAGAGCAAAGGAAAGCTGTCCTAAAAATGTCTGAAAGAACGCTGTAACTCATTACAAGCACCTAGGCTTGTGGCAATCCATAAGCTTCAAACAACTTTTTAAATTCACTATGGTTTGAAAGGCCTGTATATGCTACTCTCCATTCTCTCCCCTCTGGTTTCAGTTTTAGAGAAATCTTTTAAAACAGAGAGAACAGAACTGTTGTCAGAATAAAGACTAGGGGGCCCTTGCATATTTAAATTCCAATCACATAGTTTTAAAGTTTTCACCAAGTGGTTTTTTTAAAAAATGTAGTTTCAGTCAAAAGCAAATCTCCCTGAGAGAAGATGAAAAATGCAACTTCAACAACTTTTCTGAAATAATTTGATTTTTTTTTTTACAGAATACGAGTTCTGATAAGCCAGTACTTTAAGAAGTCTGTCGTTTTCCTAAACTACACCACATACATCAATATATAGAAAATCAAACCATGGGAAATATAAAAGAGAGCACACAGTACCCGCTACTTTGAACTTGTCAGGCAATTCTATTATATGCAATCACTGTAAAAAAAAAACCAATTGGCAACAGAAACGGAGCTGCCATGGGTGTTTTATCTTGACCTGAAATTTGCCATCAACCTCATATCTTAGAAAGAGCTTTACAATATTCTATTCCCCTATTTGGTTAGTTATTTACTATTCTTACAGACTGTTTATATGAAAGAACATGATGTTTTTACCACTCCTGTCCACTGCAGAATTTCTCAGAAAGCTGGTAATACCAAAAAGCTAATTTAGTGGCAATTAAGAATATATAAACTGGCTTTTACTCTTCTCTAATTCAATACAATAAAATACTTAACATCCTATCTTAAAATTATCAATAAGGTGAGATAACTATTGTGATCAATACAGTTAGATATCTGTTAGAGATGCTGAAAAATCTAAGCACGGTCTGTTAGAAAAGAACTTTTCAGCATGCCTTGTCAAAGGTAATACAGAATTGCTCTGGTAGCACAACTACCAACTCCTGTTGTTCCAAACTTCATGTTAACTATGGTAAGCACATTCTGCATCAAAATGATAGTCTCTTCAGATGACATGTTTCACCAAACTCGTTGCATATTCCAGTTTGGGCCACTTGCAAAACATCTGGCCATACACTGTGTATTGGGCATTCAGCATACCCGAACGGAGAAAACCTTTGCAGGTTGTATACACAGAAAAAAAAATCAGCGATCACTCATGCTGTAGAAGCAAACACCCATATACAGGACAACTTTGTATACATGATGCAAGGAGGAGATTAGTTGGCACAGACAATTCTTCCCACTAATGCATGGCAGGGCCTTGGACTGGATGGCTCATGTGGTCTCTTCTAACTCAATGAGTCTAAGATTCACTGAGCAAACACATAAAGAGAGCTCTTCATATTTAAAGCAGTACTAAGAAAATATGATACCATTCCTCATCCTGACCACTTTCTGCTCTACTTCCTCTATTTCCCAGACCCTTCCAATCCTCAATAACAGGTATCATCAAACGGTGGCTTTCCAGCTGTTTGGGCCTCCAACTCCCAGAATTCCTGACCACTGAACAAGCTGACTAGGGCTTCTGGGAGTTGGAGGACAAAACAGCTGGAGGGCCGCAATCTGAGGATGCCTGCTCAATAACAAACAAGAAGAAATCATTTTGCTTTTGCCCTCTACTTTCCTAGCAAAGTTGCTTTGCAAAAAAATTACAACACCATTCCCATCTATGATTCTTCACAGCCCAATGAAGAGCAAGTCTGGGGATAGAAAGGACAGCTTTCAAAGACTAATTCAAAACAGGGTAGATAACATGAAACCTGAAAGCCAAAGGAGACGGCTCACAGATAGCCCTTCATCTGTTTTCTCTTAGGACTGTATCTCAATACTAAAGCATGTGTGCCTCATGCAGAAGGTCCTGTGTTCAATATCCAGCATCCCTCAATAAAAAGCTTTTAGACAGCAGGAATTTGAAAGACCACTGCCTGGAAACCATTGTCAGCCAAAGCTAACAATGCCAGACTACATGGATCAATGGTGTGATTCTCTGTAGGGCAGCTACTTCATATGGCTATTGTGCTCAAAATAGTTCAAGCAGGATATTTTGCTCTGTTAAAGATGGTAAAGCATATTAAATTGTTAAAAACATGTATACTAGTAGACTTAAGTCCTAGCAAAGCAACACAAAATCAGTCTATGAAGGAAAATGCAGAGAAAGCTAACATTATACACGACAGGTAAGTTTAAGAAACTAGGATAGGGAAAGGCAAATTCTGCCTTTAGTTCTTCATTTACCTGCATTGAAATGGAAGAGATTTTAAGTGAAAGAATAAAACTGTGCTCTCTCAAAGAAAAAGAAAACTAGCATCCCCGCCCCAGGGTATCTTGGATTCTAAAAAGCCTGGTAATTAATATGTTTCTATTGTGACGTTTCCACTGTTAAAAAGCCTATGGTGACCCTCAGGCAAAAAGTCAGCAAAAATCAAGATATGTACATACATAATGGCCTTTCCCAAAACTATGTACTCTGCACTCAAAATAAGTTTTTATAAAGATTTTAAAGAGGGGTTTCTGTTTTTGCTCACTTGGGGTGGCAAACGTTCTCTCTTGTATTGGAATTTTAATAAATTCAGTGAATAGTCACAGTCGCCAAAAACTTGAGAAAACCATTTTTACATTATTATTATTTGCACCTTCCCAGTCACAATGAGTGCAGTTATAAATTATTTTAGTTCAGAAGTCCAAACAGATGAAGAAATTCTAAAATGACTTCATGGCATGGATATAGCGGTTGATTGACATATACATATATACATATCAAATCCCTGTTGTCCAAAATATACATATACATATTCAGACACACACACATACTGGAAGAAAAGGTGGAGTTTAGTAAAAACCAAATTTAAAAGAACATCTACTTTTTAAAGCCAGGAGTGGACTTCTGGTGAATTCTGGCTTTCTTTTTAGAGTCCAAAACGCCACAGAAGGTCCCAAAGGTTAGAAAATTACTACTGAACCCATCAAAGTTGGCTACCTCTGCTTCTCATGTTTCCACTTAAAGGAAACAGCATTTATTACAGTTCAGTAGTGGGAGCTGTCTTGCCACAAGGAAAAAGACTTCTGCTGTCATTTTTTCATATGTCAATCTTAGTTTGCAATTTGCATAGCTGTTTCCCACAGCCCAAATCACTCTCACAAAGATTGTGCCAACAACTTTTACTGACCAACAAGCAGAATATCTTTTTTATATATAACATTTCATGAGATATATTCATAATGAGCAAATGTGGTTAATTTGGCATGCCACAGTGCCATTCAAAAGGTCAGCCAAAACACGTCAATCAGTAAAATGTCCTCAGTTCAGCAAAACTAAACTTCACAAATGTGACCCACTACTGTGGTGCTCACTCATCTTCCTCAATATATGGCCTCAAATGTTTGAAGAGTGCAGTGAAACCGCTATTGGGTGGATTAAGGAAACCCAGCTTCAAATGCCAATTTGCCATGAAATTTGCTGACTTAAGATTCTGTCTAACTACAGGATTATTGTAGAAACAGAAAGGATAGTCTAATGTATAGTCCTGGACTTACACCGATTAAAAAGATGGCATCAAAGAAATTATGTAGGATCTTGAAAGATAGGTGCATAGAAATATAGAAAAGTAGGTGCATTTCAATACAGTATAGAAATGTAGGTGCATTTCAATACTGTGCTACAATGCAAGAAGGGGCTAAGATAGAAGACAAAATTCTGGAAGTTTTAGAATTACTGCCTTTTCTTTGAAGAAAAAAACGCTATGCCCATATAGATAAAGTTGGTCTAACATTTGGTTAGCCCAACTTCTGTGAACACAACATTTATCACAGAAATGGAAGAAATGATCAATAAAAGTCATTTTGTTGCAAACAACAGATGAACAATACATTTTCTGTAAAACAACAGAATGAACTCCAACAGGAGAGAGACATTTCTTAAGTCAATATGGAAGAGCTTATACTCACCGGCTGCAAAGAATCCTCTTGTCTCCTACTTTGACTCTGTCGGCTGATGAAGGATCTCGTTGACACTTTATAATGGTTCAGCAAACAGATGATGACTACTATCATAACAGTTATCACCACAATTATGATGATAATCTGAACAAACTCTAATTCCGCTGGGGAGAAAAAGAAAGAGACAGAAATGTCATATCTGAGAACAAAAAGGGGATCCAACAGTATTTTGCAGAGTGACAAACTGATAGCTCAAAATAATTGTATATAGATTACTTAAGTTATTTAACAAAAACTATTTTCCATGGCAATAAACTGATCAAAAAAGCACTGGATAGAAACAAAAAGAGGAAGGTAGCATTTTAAGTGTTTACCAGTTTAGTTCTTCCATTCTGGAATGAGCACATTAGAGATGAAAACTTTGCAGGAACTCATCACTTAAAACAGGATATTATAAATGACATCTCTTCACATATGACAATACCCTCCTTCTCAAGTATTTGAAATAGGGCAATCATCCTTTTCCAGATCGTAATAAGTGATTTAAAAAAAACACAGGATTGAATGTTGTTTGTTTTTTCCTTAAAGGTCATATTGCCAAGTGACAGTAATGAAGGAAATAAATGGAAATCACACACAGATTCTGAGCTGTTTTTGATATGAGATGTCTTCTAGAGTAAGGTTTCCAAGTTTTGGGAGACAATAAGCACATCTAAAATGTTAATAGTCTACCACAAAACTCTAGAACAGAAACCCGTTTGTTTGAATACACCTTTTTTAACACTCATTTTCCATAAAGCAAATTGAAAATGCTTGAGACAAAAAAAAATATCAGCCAAATATCAAGTACTACAATCATCACATACAAAAGATACAAAAATCACAAGAAACAAGGTGATGATGGTTGGAGAAGTCCACACATGTATAGCCTCATAAAGGTAACCCCTGAAGAAGAAAAACTCACTCATCACTCACATCCTCTACAACCAGCAGCCCTCTAGCTATTTTGGCCTCCAACTCCCAGAAGCCCAAGCCAGCTTGTTCAATTGCCAGGAATTCTGGGAGTTGAAGGCCAAAACAGCTGGAGGGCTGCAGGTTGTACAGGACTGCTTTAGAATAAAATGAGAGGCGCATTCATTCACATTTTAAAGCAGTTTTTATTTTCAATGACCAATATCCCCAAGAATAGAAATGGTGCTATGGTCCAACGCTTTGCAAAACACCACCTTCCTAATTTTAAACAAAAGAAAACTCTAAAAGAAAACTAAGAAAATCAAAAGGGGGTGGTAACTGTAAATGGAGATATCTATGGACAATGAGGTACAATGGGGATTCTAGATCTATAGACACCTCCTTTGCACTTTCAGTAAGTAATACGAAAAAGAAAATACATAGTGCATCAACTGGAGGATTTAGACAAAATTAACAAAAAAAGCTGAAGCAGTATTAATTTCTTGAGATAAACATTCTTCAAGAAAGATGCAATTCAGCAACAAATACAAGATTCAAAACTACTTCCTATCATTGCAAGCGGGTTGCACATCTCATTCTATGATTTGGGAAAAACTGATACATACGCTAATGGGTTTCTCAAATCTATGTTTTGCTGAGTTCACTATGACTACAAGAAATATTTTCTGTTCTTTTTGTATACACGAGCCTATTATTTGTAAAGTTGGAATGCTTGGAGAAGCCTCTCATGCATTTCAAGTTTAAAGTTGGAGTTCTGATAAAAGCAAAGAAATTGACACCTTCTCTCCATAAAATACTTCTCCCGACAGTTCTACTGTAGAAGCAATTCTCACTTGACTGGATATGTAAAGCTGTTGGTTTCAGCAAATAAAAATGGGTTTTAGAAAAATACATGTTACAAGAACACAGAGACATAGGAAAGCAACTACAGCATTAGAACACTTATGGTCTAAAGGCACCAGATACTGTCTGATCTTGGAAGATAACCAGGATCAGTCCTGGTTCGCACTAGGATGGGACACCAACAACAAATACTAGGTGCTGTGGACAAATTCAGAAGAAGAAATGGCAAACTGATTGCTGAATATTCCTTGTTTTTAAAAGCATATGAAATTCACAGAGGTGTCATAAATTGTCAAGAGATGAAGGTGTCCCCTTCCCCACACACAAGTGCTATTACACTTTCAAAATGGTGAAATCACTATGGAGTTATCTATAATGAATGTTAAAGGAAGGTTAATGACTCAAAGGGCTTCTCTAAAGTAACAGAAACCCTGAATATTCAAAGCTTTCATAAAAGGCAACGAAGAAAAAAAGGAACAAGGACTCCTTTTGCTTGGATCACAGTGGATTTTTTCCCTTTCAACGAAACCATGGTGATGGGAGATTAACCTAGAAAGTCACTGTAGTTTTACAAAGTCGCAATGCCCATAAAAAGTCTTAAAGATTAAAGAAAATGCCCCAGGGTATTACAAATGTTTTCCTTTTGGAAGACATGATAATTGCTTTACATGCCTCAAATTCAATTAATGCATCAATTAAAGTTATGGCACTTTGGGACAAACTTGTCACATCATTAATCTTGAAGGATCACACCTTTAGCCATTCAAATTAACGGAAAAAACACATCAATGGCAGTATAATGTACTTATTTGTATGTGCAGGAACTACATAAAACTCGGGTCTACACAATTTATTTATTTGTGATTATTAATAGCTTTTTTACCTTCAGAAGGCATCCAAAGTTAAATATAATAAACTTTTTTAAAAATACACAAAAGTTAATTGTAAACATTTTGACCACTGCCAAAAGAGAAGCAAAGATGTAGACGGTCAGACTTTCTTTGTGAGTGAGTTCTACAGTCATGGGATTTAGACCTTGTCTCATGGGAATGGGATGGTGATAGAAGCTACAGTCAAAAGGTATTCAACAATATGTACTAACTGTTTTAATTAATCTCTTCCTTGAAAGGAAAGTTTAATACACAAAAATAATGCACCTACAGTAAACCCTTGGTATCTGCTGTAGTTTGGCTCCAGAACTATCCCCACACCTTGATACCAAAACCTATGGATGCTCAAGTCCCATTATATACAGTGGTACAGTAAAATGGTATGCTTTATATAAAATGGCTTGGGGATGGGGTGAGCATAAAATATCATTTAATACAGAATCCGTAAATATGGATAACAGACTGTTCCTATTTCTAAAATGCAACAACATAGAATAACAATACACTATTATGCTTCTTCATACTCACATGTAAGTACAAAAGCAAAAAGGATAAAGTATATTAACATCAAAAATATTTCTAGAGGGTTTCCCTCTATTTCTGGAAGGAGTAAGATAAGCAGTTAGCACTTTAAAGTTCCTTCCTCTTCACAAATATCCACAAGTACAAGAACTTTATAGGCAGAGGTTGGCATTACCCAAAACTGACCTATTTGCAAAAGGTTTATAACTCCACTGTAGGCCTTAATTATTACAATCTATGACAACTTAAAGGGACTTCTTTATGTGCACTGAAGAAAATAAGAAAATTGCCTTTTCACTTGTAACTTTTATTCCAACCAAGACCATTAAGGGCTACATGGAAACTCTTCTAACAGTTTCACTTTCTCCATCACAATCTTTATACCAATGTTTATTCCCTTTAAATCAGTTACTCCTGAACCCCAGGTCATTGCACCTAGGTCAGTCACAAGACATTAATTCAAAAAAATGTGAAGAGGCACAGGTTTCAGATTTTAAAAGTAACATTGCAACATTGCTGAATGACGGGATTTCAGTGGCCAATTATTTCAAAGGCTAATAACCCAAAGTTTCATTTGACTCAAATATATATTAATCCTGGGACCATTGCACAACAGCTGCAAAAGTCAAATGTACAAACTAAGTAAAGTTGACTTAGACTTTCCTAGAATGCAGCAATGACTGGAATGACAGGACTTTTGCTTCTGTCAAATGCAGAATCACAAGAGCAGTTCCTCTTTTCCTATGAACCTGAAGAGTTTTTAACAGATACACTTGGGAAGGGAAAGTCCATTCTGAAAGTGTGCTAATTCAAAATCTTTGATGTGGATTGGTGGAGGGAGGAGGAGATCATGCTATTTTCAGTCTTTGCAATATTAAAGAGACATTCAACAGTTGATGAGATAAAAGAGGAAAATGTAAGAGATATGTATATGATCCTGAAAGCCAAGCAGAATCAGCCCTGTTTTGTCTTGGATGGAGGACTGCCAAGGGTTACCAGGTGCTGTAGTCTATATGTCAGAGGAAGGACCTGTCAAAGTGACCTCTGAGCATTCATCACCTAAGAAAACCCTATGAAATTCATGAAGTTGCCATTAAGTCAAGAGGCAACTTGAAGAAACATACACATGCCTAGGATGCATCTACACTGCAAAATTAATGCAGTGTGAAAGCACTTTAATTACCACTACTCACTCCTATGGAATCATGGGAGTTGTAGTTTTACAAGGTATTTAGACTTTTCTACCAAAGAGTGCTCGTGCCTCACACAACTACAACTCCCAGGATTCCATAGCATTAAGCCAAAGCAGTTAGTGGTGTCAAACTACATTAATTCTACAGTGTAGATGCCCGCACAATAACAAATAAGAAGACCATTCCATTATCTGGGTGGAGCCCAAAAGGGAGTTTAGACAGAGAAGGATAGTCCATTTGGGGGGGAGGGGGAGATGAAAGAGTAAAACCATTTCCCTGTTTCCTGATATTCCCCCACCTTTGTCGCCATTGTTGAAACAACAGTTTTTCATGACATGGGAAGGGGGGGGGGGGGAATAACCAGCGGAAATGGGAGATTGGTTTTTATCCTTCAACAGTACCCCCCCCCCCCCGTTTAAAATGGACTATCCTCTATCTAGGCTTCCTTTTTGGAGTCTGCCCAGATAATAGAACAGTACCCAAAATAAGAATTCACCTATGCACAAACCCAAGGGAGACATGCATTCAGTAACCCATATCCAGTCATTCTTTAGTAATAGGATATGAATTCATTTCAAAAGCAACATTTTCTGTTACACTGTTAATTTAAAAAAAAACTTTTGAGTTTCCTTATTATTTATCAATTTAATCGTTTAATTTGTTACCGAGCTTTATAGAAACTAAAAAATCACTCACAGTTCAAAATCTATGAAGTCAAAGAAGACATTTTTAAAATAGTTTAAT